TTGGAAGGATTGTCAGGGACGTCAACTCATCTCCCACAGGCCTTAGACTCATGGGGAAAGAGTATAGTGTCTGCATGGAGAAGATAGGTTGGGAGTCCAAGTAATTTCCTAAGGATTGTGGGGTTTGGGAAGAGGCTGATAGACCCTCATCGTGGCCTCACAAGAGGAGGCAGATGGGGTCCACTTAAACTATAGCCCCACACAAGGAGACTTTCTGAGACACACCCACAAGCCTCTTTTCATCCCCCAAAAGCCAAAATACAATCAATAGTCATCTGACAAGTGTAAATAGCTAAAATGAGTTCTAGATTGTCAGCCTAAAAAAAACGAGGGGGTGTTTGTCCCCTACAGAATGTTGTAAAGCTTAAATGGAATAACAGTCTTCTAAGGGAAGAAAAAATCAATTTTTTTTCATTGCTAAAAGGAAATGTTTTTTCCAGTGCTGGTTTTGAATGAGTTTGTGTATTTACACAGTTGAATCTCATATCCTAACATAAACTTTCCATGAATAATGAAGGCCAAATAATGAATGTTTAAATAAACAAAAACCCTTCAAATAAAAACAGCTAAATCTAGAAGCAGTGAAGGGCAAAGAATTTCTTATCAGATATGCCATTTCTTAATTGTTGTGGTTAGTGCCTAGATACGATGGTGATGGATGTGTTAGAAGTACTTGGAGATGAAGCAAAAAGCTGGGGAGGGGGTGGGGTCGGGGGTGGGGTTTGTTTTTGTTTTTTACCAAGTAGATGAACACATCTTTCGGTTACAGAGACTTTTCATACTCTCACAAGATTTGTTTTAATCTTTAAACTTCATCATGTAATGTCATACCCAACAAGTGATAACTACACCTCTTTTTATATAAATCTCCTCTCCATGCACGTGTGCATGTACATGCAAACTTCCCCATACGCTGATTTTTTTTAATTAGGATATTTATTTTTATTTCCTGAAGCCTTTCACACCATCCACAGTTTAAGTGCAGAATCTTTCTGGAAGGGCTGGGTGGCTTCGTGTTTCCAGGCATCCTTCAGTCTGGTGGTATTAGTATAGTTTCAAGTGCAGGCAGGTTCCTCTCAAGATGCTCAGCAGGACTTCTCAAAGAGACTGGAACACAGTTGGAAATGAAATATAGAAGCTGTCTCTTCTTGTGCTTGACTTGATTTAAGAAATATCTGCAAAGATATTGGTTATTTCCCAGATGAAAAAATCATATATAAAGCCAAGACACTGGTGTTCTAAAGAGCATTATCCTGACTATTATGCAAGTATATGAAGGATTTTCTCCATTTTAAATAATTAGTCTATCAGAGCTTTTAGTTTTTAAAAACAAAATGAATGCTTGAGACTGATTTCTCTTTCAGCTAAAAGACTAGTTTTGACAGTACAACTCTCTATTCAGTTCTGTTCAGCTTGTCCTGCATGTAGTTAATAAAAGGACAGTTAGATTAAAAAATCACAATTGTATTTTCAGATTTTTTTTTGACCTATTTATCAATATGTTTAATTTTTCTTCCAATTTTGCAGTTTGAGTTAATGTTTAGTTTCCTGCTAACAGAGCCCTTTGGGTAGATAGCAAAGTTGTTGCTCCTGTGCTGCAATTCAAAATGCTGTTTCATAGAGAAGATCAACTGCTACAATGTGTATTTTGAGATCATAGGCCAGAGCTCCAATTGGCTATATACCTGGATATAAATTCATCTTTACCCGTTGAAGTCAATAGAGCTACACTGATTTACACCAGCTTAGGATCTGGAACATGAGGCAAATGTGTTCTGTATTGTTTTAATTAATGGATTACACCAGTGTTTATTAAGGTTGCACCTTTCTGACCACGGCTCACCAAAAGATAGCACAAATAAACCTGCAGCAAACCTGTTTTCACCAAAAGAAGTGTGACAGGATCCTTTCCCCCCCTCCCCCATTTCATCCCCTCTCCCCCATAGGACGCAACAGCACTTTTTTTTTGTCAAGAAAAGGTTGACCTTAACAGCGCATCCTTTTCTCCTGCATGGGGAGAGGACCAACAGTAGAGCCCCCTTCCATCAGCCATCCTTTGCTTTTGAGCACATTAGATGATGTCATGGAGCAAGGACACCCTTGTGTGAGCCACGTTTACAAGTTTGTATCCCATTGGTGTTTAAGATGCAAAACACTGGTAGGAGTGTTTCTAGAACCAATTATCTACATTGTTGTGGTTTTTGTTTGTTTGTTTTGAGTTTTGGGGAAATGGGAGAGGAGACAAGGAGACAAACATTTTGAAATCTCTTTTAAAAAAAAACCTAAATGTGGGGATTAAAAAACGGGATATTTTCTGTTTAATATTCTCAAAATATTCATATCGAGAAGCTTTTTCATCTTCCTTATGGAAATGATCCTAGTGATCATGTGTCTGGTATTCATGTAAAGCATGTTACGGCTTTTACTTCCTTTATCCAAGATAGAGAACAACAGTGTTTCACTGAGATGATAATAGGTAGCAAACTTTGTGAAAAAGTTATTTACAAGGCTAAACTGTCAGTTTGTATCACAATACTAAGCGAGGACAATGATAAACTCATATCGTATTACTACAGCTAATAGTTTTGTATAATAACATAAATCAAGTAATTGTCTTTCCATCCCCTTATCAAAGGAAAAAGATTTTTGAAACATGGCTTGAAAGCAATGTAAAGGAAGAGAACACTGCATATTCTAATGACAGGTTTCAGAGGAACAGCCGTGTTAGTCTGTATTCGCAAAAAGAAAAGGAGTACTTGTGGCACCTTAGAGACTAACCAATTTATTTGAGCATGAGCTTTCGTGAGCTACAGCTCACTTCATCAGATGTTATACCGTGGAAACTGCAGCAGACTTTATATACACACAGAGAATATGAAACAATACCTCCTCCCACCCCACTGTCCTGCTGGTAATAGCTTATCTAAAGTGATCAACAGGTGGGCCATTCCCAGCACAAATCCAGGTTTTCTCACCCTCCACCCCAAGTTTAAACTTGGAGAGTGGTCAGTTTAGATGAGCTATTACCAGCAGGAGAGTGAGTTTGTGTGTGTATGGGGGTGGGGGGGATGTGAGAAAACCTGGATCTATGCAGGAAATAGCCCGACTTGATTATGTAAAGAGTTGTCACTTTGGATGGGCTAGCACCAGCAGTAGAGTGAATTTGTGTGGGGGGTGGAGGGTGAGAAAACCTGGATTTGTGCTGGAAATGGCCCACCTGTTGATCACTTTAGATAAGCTATTACCAGCAGGACAGTGGGGTGGGAGGAGGTATTGTTTCATATTCTCTGTGTGTATATAAAGTCTGCTGCAGTTTCCACGGTATAACATCTGATGAAGTGAGCTGTAGCTCACGAAAGCTCATGCTCAAATAAATTGGTTAGTCTCTAAGGTGCCACAAGTACTCCTTTTCTTTTTGCATATTCTAAAACATCCTCTTTGCTGCATATTCTAACATTGTTTTGGCAGCCCTCTCCAGAAGGATGACCGTGAAATGGCTAACAGTCCTGGAACCCAAAAAATGTTTTAAAATTTACAATGCATGATAAGTAGCTTCTAAATATCTCTTCTTAGAATGTTGGTAGTATCTGTTGAAATATCTTGTTTGTGCAATACACATTTGTAATTAACAGTCGCAGAATGTTGTAATGTGTGAGTTTCAGAGTAGCAGCCATGTTAGTCTGTTAGTCAAATAAATTGGTTAGTCTCTAAGGTGCCACTAGTACTCCTTTTCGTAATGTGTGAGTGTTTAGCATTGACAGCATGTGTGCTAAGAGAGACAGTCCTGTAGCCCTTCATTTATTGAAAATAGCAGAAAAGTCTTCCAAGGCCTAAACCAGCTGTGTATCCAAGGGGTAGGTAGATAAACTGATATTTTTTATTGGGTTTTTTTTTAATCTTGGAAAAATGCATTTGACTCAGGTCCTTTTAGCACCTCAATAAGTATTTGTTTGAGTGGAGGTTTTTGAGTTTTAATTCCAGCATCTCAGATAATGAAATCTGACAATATAAGCATGAAAGGTGAATCCCGACTTCATTGAAGTCAAGGGGAGTTCTGCCATTGACTTCACTGGGGCCAGAGATTTTACCCTAAGGCCCCAGACCTACAGTCAGATCCATGCTTTTGTGGACCTTTGTACTCAAGCCAAGCCCTAAGTGGCACATATTGTTTGGCAATAAACTCCTTTCATACATTTTCATGCATTTGTTTGTCAAAAATTGAAAGTTAGTAAAATTATATTCATAATGTAAATATTGTACTATACAACTTAAAATTCAAAAGATCCAAATGTGACTATTAAATTAATGTATTGGAATACTTGGGACAAGTATAAGGAATGTTTTGCTTTTAGGGCTTTGTTTCAAGTAGAAGAGATTCTGTTATGTCAAAGTGGGTTATTCTCCCTAATTTTTGCTGAGTTTTAAGTTTTTTTGGGAGCCTCTTCCTTAATGAAATGAAGTGTAGTGTGATAACTGAAAGACAAGAATATTTGTTTTGTTTTTGTAACTCCTATTGAGATGTAATGCATTGGAAAGATCTTCTCTTTTTGGTTGTCTCATAAGGGAGCCGTATGGTCTCTTTAACTTAACCATTAAATCTCCTTCTTTCTCCAGTCTCTGTTATCGAATTGCCTTTGTTTAAGAAGTTATGGAAAATGTAATCCATGTTACATCTTTGCTGTCTTAATTAAATGGTCCAAACAGTCGTCACTTGGAATGGGGAGCTAATGTTTTTGTATTCTCAGATTCTGTTCTTGCTGTTTAATTTCTGCCAATTGCATTTAATTCCTTTATTAAAAATATTATGTTCATTATATTTATTTAAAAATTGACATTTGATTCCTACTCTGGTGAAAATTATTGGCTTCTGATTTCTAGTTACCTTAAATTGCCTAAGTAAAACAAGAGAGCTGATAGCTTTACCAGTATTTGCTGTTCCAGAAATTTGTGTATGTTACTCTCCCCCCCATCTCAACTTAACTTTCATATTCTCTTTATAGGGCTGCTCTTGGTCTGTCATATTTGTGGATCTTGACGCCCATAATCGAAACAGACAAACTCTTTGCTCATTGCTACCCCGAGAATCGAGGTCTCATGTAAGTAGCTTGATGGAATTCAGTTTAACAGAATATAGAAAAAATAAATTGGTGAGAACATAGTTCTTAGCTTTATTACCATTTTAATATCCTATTTAATAAAGGATATGAACTTGTTGGTTGGGAAGAAATTAGATTCTTCTGTTTAAATATTACTGCAGAATAGGAGCCATCTCTGCAATAGAATTATCATGGCCAACCTCTCTTTAATTTAAGAATAATTAGCGCTAGGTGAAAACAGTGGCCTAAATAATTTAAAACAGAAAGACCTATTGGTCTATGAATAAGCGCAGCCAAGAGAGATGTTTAAAGGGGTTTGAAGTCTCATGGGTGGTGTGCTTGTTTTCATCCATCTTGCACACTATATAGTGGCTAAAATATCTGCTGTTTTTAAGATATTTTTGTTTCATAGTAAACCCAAAGCCTGAGGTACTAAATTACTAACAATTTGAATTTGGGAATTCATCTGTTACAGAAGGTATATGAGTAAGGCCCGACCTAATTCATGGCCATGAAAAATATATCACGAACCATAAAATCTGCCCCCCCCCTTGAAATCTGGTCTTTTGTGTGCTTTTACCCTATACTATACAGATTTCACAGGGAAGACCAACATTTCTCAAATTGGGGGGTCTGACCAAAAAGGGAGTTGTGGGCAGGGGTGGTCACAAAGTTATTTTAGGGGAGGTCACAGTATTGCCACCCTTACTTCTGTATTGCCTTCAGAGCTGGGCAGCTGGAGAGTGGTGGCTGTTGGCCAGGTGCCCAGCTATGAAGGCAACGCCTTTCCAGCAGCAGCGCAGACGTAAGGGTGACAATACCATACAATGCCACCCTTACTTCTGCACTGCTGCTCATTGCTCAGCCTATTGTCTCAATCTCAACTCCCAGGACTCTGGGTTGTCTTCTTCTCTAGGGCTCAGCTTCTCCCTCTCTGTGACTTTTCCAGGGTCTGTTAAAGTCTCTCTGGACAAATTGTCTCTCTGCTGTTCTGGGCAGTGCTCTATTCTACATCCAAGGCTCTGCCACTTCTCCAGTGGCTGGAAGGGGAACCTGGGCCCACTCTCTACTTCAGGTTCCAGCCCAGGGACCCTGTGCTCCACAACTGTGGTCTACTCACTCCCAGACCTGTTTGTTGCTTCCCTGGTCTCTGTCCTACTCCCTCCTTCTATTTTTTGACACCTCTGGGTTTACCACTTGTCTGAGCTTCCTCTGCTCTCCGTGGCTTCGTTCCTTTTTGCTTCTTGCCAAACCCTATTATCTCCAACACACCTCCCTCCTGTCAAGGATTGACTGCAGACTACTTCCCCCTTCTGTACTCAGCTTCTTAGCTTTATAGAAGCCCTGCCTGTTCCTGCCCAGGTGAGCTTCATCCTTAATAAAATGTTATTGATCCCTGGCTCCCCTCCAGGTGAAGATGATGCAGTAATTTCTTCCTTTCCTCCCACCTTAAAGCAAGTTCATTTTTATTCTAGCTGAAGAAGACAGATTCCATACAAAGCTTTTAAGAAATTCTGGTTAACCGTATTTGCTCCTTAATCTTGCCAGCCTAGGTAATAAAGGTTCATGGTTGGTCTTGAAATTGGATCCCCAAATTACCAGTCTGTTCACTGGGCTAACTTAAAGGGTGCTTCCCCCCCTAAAAATAGAGATCTAGAATATCTTCAGTATATACCCCATGCAGGTTATCAGCTTAATAGTAGGTCAAATTTTGGGCCAAATAACTTATCTGTGTATCCTAGTTTTTAACACCTATTTCTCAACAAATATTGTAGCTAATTAACTAAATACACAATTTCTTCTCTAACCTTATGCCTTTTTATTGTTGGGATTTTTAAATCTTCTTGTATTATTTTCCATGGTAGTTAAGTACAGAAAAACTGTTTTATCCGGCACGTCACCAACCAGAAAGCTCTATAAACCGGCATCTCTGATCTTCATTGAAATGCCAGTTTATAATCTGGTTGGTGCAGGGCTGGCAGGGTGTGGGAGGGGTGCGGAGCACGTGCTCTGGGAGGGAGTTCGGGTGTGGGAGGGGACTCAGAGCAGTGGGTTGGGGCGTGGGAGGGGGTGCGGGGTGCCGTATCCAGGGGGTGCTCACCTTGGGCGGCTCCCCACAAGTGGCAACCCAGTCCCAGTTGCTCCTAGGCAGAGGTGCTGCGGGAGGCGCCGCTGCCCCATCCCGCCCTCAGTGCTAGCTCCGCAGCTCCCATTTGCTGGGAACCGCGGCCAATGGGAGCTGCGGGGGTGGCGCCTGCTGGCGGAGGCAGTGCACAGAGCCGCCCTCCATCTAGGAGCAGCCGGGACACTTCGCCACTTGCAGGGAGCTGCCCGAGGTGAGCGACCTACGGATCCGGCACCCCACACCTCCTCCTGCACCCCAACCTGCTGCCCTGAGCTCCGTTCTGCACCCAAACTCCCTCCTAGAGCCCTCGCCCGAAACCCCAGCCCTACACCTCCTCCCGCACTTAAACTTCCTCCCTCTTAGTTAACCAGCATTTTTCATTTACTGGCACCCCCCATTTCCCCAACATGCTTTTACTGTAAATAGTCTTTTTGCTTATATTCTGATTTCATATTTCATTCACTGGGTTAAGTTCTCTTTGATTATGCATGGAATGATTTCTAAGAGATGAAGAGAAATTAATTATTTTTTCTCTAGAACACTGATGCAGCACTTCTACCCTGCATTAGTTATCCTGCATTTGCTGTGGATGATGATGCTTTATACAGTCAAACACTTGATAAGGTTGTTAGAAAACTAAAAGGAAAATATGGGTTCAAACGATTTCTGAGAGATGGTTACAGAACATCACTGGAGGACGAAAATCGGCGTTACTATAAGCCAGCAGAAATTAAGGTAATGGAATATGTTACTGGAACACACAACATGCTTGGGGAGAAATTCTGCTCTTTGACATGAATGGAGATCTGGAGTTTTAAGTATTTGTTTTCAGAACAGAATTTGACATGTTTTTGCTGATGATTGCTGCTACTTGTTATGGTTTTAATACAGAGTTCTGCTTCTGCTCACTGCTGGCTCCTCCAGGTATCCTGTGAGTTTTGTCAACAGCAGAATTTTTATTGAAAAATAGCTGAGTCCATTGTAATTACGTGTATTAAAATGGTGCATTCACTATAGTTACATTTGTGTCAGCTCTTCCTGTATAGTTTTCTCTTTTCAAGGATTTTAACTAGCTTTATAAGAGTGTCTTTCAGGTTGACACTGGTCATACATAATCTGATTTTGGTGTATGTTTTTTTTTAACCAAATTCTGAAATGTTAGTTTGGCCATCATTTTTATGGGTCCCACTGGTTTTCCAAAAGTAGACCTATTCTTATTGACACAGCTACATTTCGCCTGCTTGTTGCTCTCTGTCTATGGTGGATTCTTCTAGGCAACTATCACCTATCAGTGAGTTAATAGCTTTATCATGTCTATATTTTTTCCAGTGATATCCTTTAGTGCTGGAAAATCAGGCCTGTGTAATAGGACACAAAATTAGACTTCCAGCAAGAGTCTAGAGCAGGGGTAGGCAACCTGTGGCACGTGGGCCAAAGGCAGCACGCAAGCTGATTTTCAGTGGCACTCACTGGTCTGGGAGGGGTCCTGCATTTTAATTTAATTTTAAATGAAGCTTCTTAAACATTTTTAAAACCTTATTTACTTTACGTACAACACTAGTTTAGTTATATATTATAGACTTCCAGAAAGAGACCTTCTAAAAACGTTAAAATGTACCACTGGCACACGAAACCTTAAATTAGAGTGAATAAATGAAGACTCAGCACACCACTTCTGACAGGTTGCCGACCCCTGGTCTAGAGAGATCATATTGCGAAGCCAAAAAATTTAAAAATTTTGTTGTTTTCTCCCTGTAACCCTTTCCTCAATAGAGAGAGAGGTAGGGGTGTGTGTGTGTGTGTGGTGGGGCGGTGGGGGGTAGTCTCTCATTTTATATAATATAGAAGCAACCTAGTTGCACTATACTTAAGGCTGTTAAAGATTATATCATCTCTCTAGAAATAATATAATAAAAATGCTTAAATACATCTGTTTTTTATAAGGAGCTGAAAAAGACAGTTTTAAACTAGTCTTTACTTCAAGATGTCTCTGAAAAACAGAAGCAAAACAATGAGTGGAAATGGTTGTACTGAGACTGAGGGTCTTAACTTTGAATTACAGTCACTCCTCGCTTAACGTTGTAGTTATGTTCCTAAAAAATGCTACTTAAGCGAAACGATGTTAAGCAAATCCAATTTCCCCATAAGAATTAATGAAAATAGGGGGGTTTAGGTTCCAAAGAAATTTTTTTTGCCAGACAAAAGACACACACACACACACACACACACACACAGAGTATAAGTTTTAAACAGTTTAATACAGTACACAGCAATTATGGTTGTGAAGCTTCGTTGAGGTGGTGAAGTCAAAGGGTGGAAGAGGATGGGATATTTCCCAGCGAATGCCTTACTGCTAAATGATGAACTAGCACTAGGCTGAGCCCTCAAGGGTTAACACCTTGTTGTTAATGTAGCCTCACACTCTACAAGGCAGCACAAATGGAGGGAGGGGAGACAGGATGCCAGAGAGAGACAGAGACACACACCATGTGTGAGAGAAAGAGAGACGTGCATTGCCCCTTTAAATATGCTGACCCCACTCTAAGTACATTGCCTTTTTAAGTAGATCAGCAAGTTGAGACAGCAGCTGCTGCCAGCAAGCTCCCTCCATCCTGAGCCCTGTCCGGCCCCCCTTGCTCTGTGGAGATGGCCCAATGGAGTAAAGGAGCAGGGGGCAGGAGTGGGGTGAGGGGGACACCCTGACATTAGCACCCCCACCCTTCTCCCTGCACAGCAAGCAGGAGGCTCCCGGAAGCAGCTCCAAAGAAGAGGGCAGGAGCAGCACACTGCAGTCGGGGGAGGGACAGCTGAACTGCTGGCAATTGATAGCCTGCTGGGCTGCTGCTGCACAGGGAACTTAGGGGAGCGGGGAGCTGATAGGGGGCTGCCGGCCCACCCTGGTTCCAAGCCCCCACCAGCTAGCTCCAATGGGCTGCTCTTTCTGCAACCAGTGGACAAAGCAGGCGGCTGCCAAACAACGTTATAAGGGAGCATTGCCCAGCTTTAAATGAGCATGTTCCCTAATTGATCAGCAACGTAACAACGAAACAAGATTAACTGGGACGACTTTAAGTGAGGAGTTACTGTACATCTGCCCAGGGCAAGGAGGGCATTTGGTCTGGGCCTCAAGCTCAGGGGGGGCCTCAAATTTAGGTATTTAGGTAATTTAGGTAATGCTGGCCTTACTTAAACTTTTACTTTTAGTATTTAACTAAATTTAACTCAAATTTAGGTATTTAGGTAATTTAGGTAATGCTGGCCTTACTTAAACTTTTACTTTTAGTATTTAACTAAATTTGTATTTAGTATTTCAGAACATTATATTATTTTTTCTAGATCATATTCTTCTCACGTGAAAATGTGAGCTTCCAAGATTGAGAATGTTTCAGTACTTTTTTTTAGGAGGAAACAAACTGGAAAAACTTCTGAGTTATTAGATTACGCAGAATTGTGCAGTCCATTTGATTGAGATGTGTTGTATCTTTGCATGTGCTGTTCTGAGAGAATGTTAAGTCAGCAGTTTAATCATTGATTTGTCTGATGATAAATGTGCTTACATTTAAATTCAATGAACAGCTGGTTTCACATAACAAATAGGCAGGTTATTTATCACTTAATTTAATTTCACAGTTGGCTACAGTCTGGGTATATTAAAAACAATTTCACTGTGTTTTTGAATATTAATGTCTATCAGTAAAGGTTGTCTGAATTAAGTTTCCATTTTTCCTTCAAATACTTTCAGATGTGTCTTAATTAAATAAAAAATCTTCTGCTGAGAATATAACTTAGACTATGTAAATTTATTACTTGAATATATGCTATAACATGTTAAAAGCACAATAAATCTCCATGAAACAAGAAAAATGATCTGTATTTTAAAATGAAGAACTAATGTACTAAAATAATAATTTGTATTCATTTTTATCCTCTGGTTTAAAAGTGTATTTGAATGCATTTCTTTTAAACTAAAATGTTGATTTTTTTTTTCTTTTTAGCTGTTTGATGGGATTGAGTGTGAATTTCCTCTGTTTTTTATTTTCATGATGATTGATGGTAAGTATGGCTTGACACTAGTGTTTGGTAAAGACATTAGAGGCTGGTCCTTAGAGAACAGAAATGAAATTATTTTCCTTCCCTGCAAGAGTAAACTGTAATTCAGTGATACAAATGTCTCATTGATAGGTCTGCCTCATGAGTCAAATACAATGAATTATTTCAGATATTTAGGGTGAACCATTTCTTTGAATAAAATCAAAGATACAGATAGCAATCACTTAAGTTAATAATAACGATGCATGGTTCACAGACACAGTACACAATTCTAGAAGTTCAGATCCTGCTTCAATCTTTAACTAAACCTGTGGGAGCGGCTTAGCTTTTCCTTTGCCAGCAATCACCTCCCTTAATCCATGGGCCCTAAAATGCCTACCATTAATCTTCTTCCTTACTCTTGTCATCCATCATTCTTACTCTCTTTAGGTTATCAGGGACTCCACCATTGCAGTACCTGGCTGTGTGTTTACTAGAACTTGGTACCTCCCATTTTCTCTCTCTCAATGGACCTGAGATGCACCAAACTCCAGTGTGTGAAAGAGGTGAAAGTGGGGCTTCTAAAGAGCAGTGTACAGGAAAGCTGGATTTTGCAGCAAATCTCTAAAAGAGTGGGTGTGCTGTGGTAAATCAAGCAGAATGCAGGAGAGGATAAATAAGCAACTCAGAGATCTCTTGGTGGCAGGAGAATACTAAAGCTAAATTTCTTTACAAGATGCCTGTAAGTTTTGGAGACATGTCAGAGAGGTTATTGGAATTGTTGAAGGTGTGGAGGAGAACAATGAAGGGAAGGAGGGAAGCAGAAGCTCTTATGGAGGTAGCCAAGGAAGTTTTGGAAAAGAGGGTTGAGTAGAGGGGATTTCAACAGAGTAGATCAGAACCTTCTAAAAAAGGTTTTGCCATCAATTTGTTTCCAAGAAATTCCCTTTATTATCTGAGCAGCAGATCAGATTTTCTATTTTGGGTAGGTAGACTACAGTGTGAGGAGTGGTAAGGATGCCAATACACAAATGAACATTTCCTTTAGGAATAGACATTTGCAGTTTTCACAAGGAAGCCAAATATGCTGCAGAGAAGGCTCTGATAGGTTCCCCTCACATGGAGCTTTAGACAAGCAGAAAATGTTTACTGTTCTACTAACTGTGGATGGGAATGGTTAAGAGAATGTTGTCTCTCTTACTTCTGTAAGCTGAGGGAAAAACTACAAATTTCATAGCTTTAAAAAACAGTTATAGCCTTTCGCTTCTGATACCTTCATCTTCTTAAATAAAATAAATGTGAATTTAGCTGCCTCTGTGCATGTGTGCATTCAGAGTACTAATATCTGCTGCTCTCTTTTTTGTAATATGTTTTGCCATCAAGATTAGGCTTCAAAAACCTCTACTACAAAAGGCAGTTAGGCTGCTTGGTGTCTTTGCCATAATGCCACTCTAAAAATAAGTTCTCTATTTGCATGTGGGAAAATTGCTATTTCCAAATTGCTCATTGGTCTGTAATATTAAACTCATGTAGTGATGAAAACAACTGTGGGTTAATAATGAAAATAGAATGTCCATGGCAGGCCAGAGAAACCTTCATCCAACTGCCACCCAGGAAAATATATAAAGTACCTTGTCCGCTGGTTGTAAAATAAACAAATGAAGAAAATCAATGATCAAAGGAGGCAATTGGCTGAAAGACATGAAGTAAACAAGTGTTTCAAATTTTTGAATCAAATCTTATTACATTATATCATGACTTAGTGGTAGAAGCCATAGTGGGATAAAATATTGGTCAGAATAACCATCACCACGAAAGAAAGTATATGTTTCTCAGTATGGGAGAAAAAACATCTCTGAATCTCCAAATCTCCACACCTAAAGTTAATACAAAATTTGAAATATGTAGAGAGAGACTAATAAAACTGGAAAGGGAAAATGAAATTTCAGAAAGAGTGAATTACCCCTACCATGAATGCTTACTCTGTTGGAAGCAGTTTGTCATCACGTAACACCCTACCCCCACCCGCTCTTATCTACAGGGGAAATTATTTCAGCAAAGGTACTCTGAGCTTTGTGGCTTGAGTGGAATAGCGGAATACAGACAGTGGTAACAGAGATTCTTAAAATCAGTCACTGATCATTTAAAAAAATAACCATCATCACAGCAATGAAATTCTTCTGTGCTCTTCTAAAATAAAATGACACATTTCCCAGCAAATATACACATCTACAATAATTAATTTTGGCTTAAAGCATTTTGTTCTGTTATACCATGAGGTAACACAGGTTTTCCAATATTTTATTGATATACATGTCAGCTTTTCTGATGTCTGTCAAATCACAACTTTCTAATGTTTGAAATTGGGAGGAGTGGATGAGATTCTGAAAATTATATATTCTGGAATTAGTTTTGCATTTTCTTTTAACATTAACAGGAGCTGTCTCTTAAATTTCGCATATGTCACACTTATTATTTGCCCTTTTCCAGATGTTGTTTGGTATAAATGGCTACTGGATTTTCACATGCAGCTTGTGATGATTTTTATTTACTAACATCTAGTAATTGAAATAATTTGCAAATAAATGCTGTCAAAATATTCATTTCTTTGTCATGTCAACACGGTGCTCAAAAGTATGTTGACGAGAGGTCACTGTTCTATAGTCTCAATGTGTTTTTAACATACCCTTTTTCCTTGTACAAACCTTCACCTGCCAAGATTTGCAGTTTTGTTTTCTGTTGCATTTATTTCTCCTTAGCTCTTCTTACATATGCTGTATACGTAGCAATATTCCAAAATATATTGAAATACGTTTGCTAAGATATTTTCTTGCCCTTTAGTATTACAAAATTGGGTGAAAAAGAAAAACCCTCTAAATAGTGTGTTCAGAGAACTTCCCATCAACATTCTGTTATGAAGGTTGAGTTTAGACTTCTTTTCAAAGCCCTGGTTTAATTGGAATAGCCAGTTGGCCACATTGGTATGCTTAAAACAGATTATGAGAAGAAATTTTAGAGTTTAGGGAAATGTAGATTAAGAACTTTATATGTTTAATAAAAATGTGTTTGTTTAATTTTTTTCTGAGCATCATACTATTTTTTTTTCAGTTCGTGTGTTTTTAGTGGTCTATGTTTTCAGGACTCCCAGTGTCACACACAGATGTATTTCTTCCAGACTCAGTACCAGGGTACTTTCCTTGTGGGGCCTTTCTCAGGAGAAAATTATTTAGCAATTTTAATCTTTTGTGGATGAATCATAGAGTGTAGAAGGGGATTGTGCTAGACAAGCACATTTCATTATTGGGAAATGTCGTGCCCGTTTTCTGCTATTCTCTGTGATTTTTGGAAACTACAGAAATCCTTCGCGACAAGGGTATGAGGGGAACCTGATGGCAGAACGGAGGAGCAAGTATAAGATGTTATGACAGTTTGAAAATTGACTGTTACTATTCGTCAAAAGAGAATCAGCTTTAGAGCTCCAGAGTAGCGCTGATGTATATTAAAGGAAATTAGCACATCCCAAATTCCCTCCACCTTTCCTAGTTGGTAAACCGTCCCCAAACCCCTTCAAGACACAATTTTACCCCTTCAAGGTCAAGCGTAGTTGATTCCTCCCAACTTTGCTCTTGGTATTAAAGATACTGTGCCTTCATAAAATGTATTAAGGGTTTTTGGATTGGATTTTCAAAGGGGCATTATAGGATTTAGGCATGTGAATTCTTTTGAAATTCAATGGGAGATGGACACCTAATTTTCAGGTATCTGAAAAGTCCATCCTAAAGACCTAGAGCTTGCCCAGGAAAGACTGGATCGCTCAGAGCATGTACAGTGGGATATAAAGTCTACACTGAGAATACTAGCTCTCTAGCTTTACTATTGGGTGGCTATTAAGAAGCCTGTGTGAAATGAGTCTGGTAGCCTCATTTGACTTCTTAAAAATGGACACATATTGCATCATTTAAAAAAAAAAATTGCAGCTGGCACTTCCAGCCTCCTCCTTGACAGTCTCAGCAAAGGTCAAAGAATATGGCCATAGAGACTTTACTACCATCTTGCCCTTAGCCCTCCTCTGTGAGGGAAAGGTTTAGCAGAACTGTTACCTTGATAGAAGTCTCCACCCCCCACCATCTCCCATATAGACATCATTATTCTGGTATAAGAGTGGCTTTTTTTAGCTTAAACTTCTTCCCAGCTTGTATAAACTAAATTGAAAAAAGGCACTCATACTGAAATGGGTGACTGCATGTGCGGGTTATACTGATATAACTGTATTGGTTTAAATTCACAACTTAGGTTATACCCAAAAAAGCTTTCCTGCATAGACAAGACCTTAGAGTGCTCCCTCCAGGTCAGGACTGAGACATACTGGCAGGGCAGCATGGGGACACTGCTTTGGCACTGCCTGTGCTGGATCCATTCTGCAGATAACTCATTCGGGTCCAGTCATCAGCGATGTTAGTATAGACCTTTTCATGATTGCTAAATTCAAGTGTAAAAAAAAAAGTTGTTTATTAATTGAAATTTTACTTGGTTATTTGTAGGAGTTTTTAGAGGAAATGCGGAACAAGTAAAGGAATATCAGGAGCTTCTGGATCCTTTGCTTCAACAGTCAGCTGAAGGTAGTCTGCGATAGTAGTTTCAAGGAATTGTAGGTTCCTTTGGGTTATCTGAACGTTTTATAAGTATACTTAAGTTTTCTAAATTTTTTTGCAAATACTGTAGCAACAGAAGATCAAAGTAATGTGGAAAGAATATATTGTTATGAGAGTAATGCTTCACAGCACTTAATATAATATATAATATCATAATTGTATTATAATTTATAATATAAAACCTAGGTTTTTTTTCTTCCGTAAAAACATATCTAATTAGAAAAGGAGTTCATTATCTGGGAAAAGAATTGATGATGGTTTAAATGCAAGGTTTACTCAGAAACCTTTTTTTGTTTTGTTTTGTTTCATTATTTACAAAGATTACGATGACTATGCTTGGAAAGTTTAGTTACTAATATTCCCAATGTCAAAATATTCCACTCTGAGACAAATATAAGTAACTGCTTTAATTATGCACTGGTTCTCAGCTTCAACAGCAAGAGTGCTCTAAAAATTATTCAGTATTTGAATATGATACAGATTCTAGTTTGGATTTAGCATGCTGTGAAAATAACAGTATTTTAGAATTATTTGGAATGTTCTGTCTTCTAAATCACTCGAACTACAGTTTTAGTGGAACTGCATACTAGGAAGCTCACAGATGGACTGAGTGGGTATTTTTCCACAATGAATAAGGAGACCACGGATTAAATGAAAACAACAAAAATGGTCTGAATAGAGCTCAGGCTTAGACTATTGATAATCCAAGCCTAAAGTTTTGAGTTTCGTAGAATAATGTGTTTTGTTAATAATAATCAGATATTCTACACATCTATGGCATTGTGGATTTTATGGTATTCATTTTTGTCTATGCAAGAATCTTCTAGTCTTTGTATCATTCCTGGATCTTGCAGTTTTAATTAAACTGAGTCAATTGCTCACAAGAATTTAAGAATTGTCATACTGCAGCCGACCACAGTGCAAATCTTGCCACCTCATTGATCATCCTCTTTTCCAGATGATTGATTAATACATTAAGCAACGTGATCTTAAAAAATAATCTTGTGTGCTGACTGTTAACCTTTGTCATCACCATTTATTTTTGATCTGAACTTTTCTGACTTTGAGCCATTTTCTAGTCCCTTAGAGTACTTCATATGTCATTCTATTTCTTAATTTCTGTATTAGCCTCTTGAGAGTGATTTTTTTTTTTTTTTTGTCCAGAGATATTGTCAGCTGATTTGCCTTCATTGGCTGTTTTGTTGAAATGCTCAAAGAAATCTAGAAAATTAGTGAGGCACAGTCTTTTTGTTTGCAAGGGGCTTGCTGGTTTGTCCAAATCATACTGTAATCATCTAGATGTTTTATAATTCTGTTTTTAAATGGTTGATTCAGCCAGTTTACATGGTAATGAAATAAGGTCTACGAATCAGTAATTCACAGAAACACACTTGGTAATTCCATGGGAACACCACTTTCTATCCTCCTGTGTGCCAGTGTAATAATTGTGCCATTTTGTTTCATGCAATTTCATAGAAGTTAAATTTTACTTAAAGCAAGATTTTGATTAAATATCTAACTTTGCACTGAATACATGCAAAAACTTGGAATTTACACATGATTTATTATAAAGCTATTTTTCCTTGAAAAGAATCTGTTTATCTTTATGATTTTTTTCACAAAATGGGTCTAATTTTGAGTTTGTAAAGAAATGCAAAAAACCTCTTTATTTCCAAGTAATTTTGATTATCTGTGAGTATTTTGCTAATTTCTAGACAGCATACCTTTTTTTGCTATCTATAAATAAATATTTATTCTGCTTTGCCCTGAATAGAATATTAAGAGACGGTACATTTGTTCAGTAAAGAAATCATGTAAAAATGATGTTCAGGCATAAATAAAGTAATGTTTAATATAGCTCTCAGTCTGCACTGCCTTGGAAGGATAACACAATGCTGGCAACCTTTCAGTTCAAACAGATTATCAGTGTATATTTTTTCCATTTTAAATTCACTTCAGTTTTATAAGGGAAATAGTTTTATATATTTACGTAATGTATTTATTTTAAAATTCCACAGGATATCCTGTTGTACCCAGGTATTATTATGTGCCAGCTGACTTTGTTGAATTAGAAAAGAAAAATCCTGGTAGTCAGAAACGATTTCCGAGCAACAGTGGACGTGATGGAAAGCTTTTCTTGTGGGGACAGGCACTGTACATCATTGCAAAACTCCTGGGTAAGAGGAAATGGATAAAACTAGATTCAAATCATGTTTATAACACTGCTAGTAATAAAACATATATTTCTTGTCAACATTTTTTTAAACCAATATACATATCCAGATTTAAGTTTTGAATGGACTCTGGATAGTTATTTTGTATGTGTGTGTATATAAAAATCCGTCACTACCTCTCCTTTGATAAATATGTGGAGTTCAGTTCTGGAACAATCTTTCAAGGGGAGTAGTGGGGGCAAAAAAACTAACTGGCTTCAAGACTGAGCTTGGTAAGTTTATGGAGGGGATGGTATGATGGGACTGCCTACAATGGCAGTGTACCTGTGTGTTTTCCCATGTTCCTTCACGTGTGAAACATCCTGTCAGCGTTTTAAAGTTTCAAGCTTTCCTCTGATTCCACCCCCCCATACACTTCTCTATCCTTCAGCCACTAACCTTTGCTTTCACTCCCCTGCCAGCATTATAACATCATATACTCCACCCTAATACATTAAAATCATATTCTGAACCAATAACTCCTTTAATAAAACTTGAAGATTGCACAATTAAGCACTCAGAACAGGAAATGCCAGATTTACGGTTTATTGTGCCAATGACTGGTCTAACTTCGAAACTCCTTAGAAAGTTAGGTCACCAATTAAAACTCCATAATGACTAAACGAATTAGTTATTTTCATTGAGATTGAGAAAATTGTCATTGCTGGTAAATCACCTGAAATACAAAGTCAAGGATCCGATGAGAGAATAAAGTTTGGGAATAAAGAAAAAAGAGTGGGGGGATATTCATAAGAATAAAGTTCTATCAACTTTCAAACACTTTTCAATATTGCACTGTGCATTAGGAGAGATGGCGCTTTTTCACAAAGTAGACATCTTCATAGAGGGTTGGTCTTGTGGACACATTTCTTCACAACTTGCCAATTATGATCCCATTCTTCTGACCAGAGCTGAAAAATGAATGTGACTCCTCCCAGTGAAGCAATACGCTGGCTAGCCAGGGTGAGACTATATTTGTACCACCACCCCCTTTCTACCTACCAGGCCACGTTTGCTGCAAATTAAGTGAATAAAGGAGTTGTGTACTGTTTATTGTTTCGTATATTTAATTGTAATATTAGCAGTCAATCTTGTACTTAATGTTTTAGATGCCACTTCCTACTAAGATTGGTCAAATAGCTGGAAGAAATAGGTATTGAATATATTTGATGAATTACAATGGTATTAATCTAATAGGTTTGCTAAATAGTATTTGATCGGCTCTGTAGCTGATGAATACTGGTAAAATAAATCAAATGAAATATTTGCCAAGCTGTTTGACCAGCTCTACTTGCTACATCCCCTTGCTTCTGTTTTACTTTCTTTCCCTTCCTGTTGTTACTTTTTCTGTCCTGTAATTAATCATGTTGAATCATTTCCTAAGTTATCATTGGTGTCTTTCCTCTTATCTTCTTATTTAACTTTTTCCCATGTTGCATTCGCTACTACAGGTTGATCACTAACAGTTATATGCTGGTGTTCAGTATGAATCATCACTGGTTGATTGGTCAGATGAGTAACATGATATTGGATGAATGCAAAAATTTTCTGCACAAATACTCTTACCTGAAAACTTATTCCATTTCTTCAACTACTCTACTCATAGTTTTGAATCCCACTGACTTGTTGATTGATTCCCTTCCCTGTGAGCTGATATAAGGTTCAATTCCAAGGAGTGAGAACATAATTTCCACTCACCATTAATACAATGACCCTGCATCCTCCCCCTCCTTTCCTTTTTATTGACATTCAGGTTGGTGTTTTGTATCAATTGTATACACCTATTTTGCTAAACATTGTTATGTGGTTAGTGCAGGGGTGTGTGTGTGTGTGTGTTTTGCAGGCTTTCCATTGTGCTTAGGGCTATGGGTGACTGTCAGTTTTGGGATCAAAAGCGAATTTTTCTTTCAATGCCAAGCTGTCAGAGTTGAGTGTTTATAGGGGAAATTCACCTTCTCTTGTAGCATCCATGAGTGCCTGATGATTTCCTTGTTACAATAGGTATGCCATCACGGCTGAACAAGCTATGTATGGCTGTTGGGCTTTTATACCCACTTCAGTGGACGTTCGCTGTTTTGGTCACAACTTTAATTGTGCCAGAAACCACATCACAGTCTTGGCACATTATGGCTTGTCGCCTGTCTCAAACATGAGCACAGATCCAGGAACAAATGCAGCTGTAGGATGCTTTGGGGAAATTAACACATGGGAAGAGATATTGTTATTGAGAAGGGATTTAAGGCAACACTTGGTCAGTTTGTGTGAGAAAAGAGTTTGGGAGTTGATTGCCTGTCTTTAGAGACTGTAGTGGTCCTTTCAAAATAGTACCTGAAGCTGCTATTTCTATGCTATGTGTCTACATTAATGAAAGTAATACTGATAGATTACATAATATTGGTAATAGAATACATGTTACCTTGAAAGTGCTCAGACTCTTTAATAATGTTTCAATTGTGGTTTACTTTCAGTTGATGGATTAGTAAATCCCAAAGACATTGATCCAATAGGGCGTTACATACCTCCACAAGATCAGCGGAATGTCAGCATGAGATACTCAAATCAGGTAAGCATATGCTTAATTTAATCTATTAGATTAAAATATTTTAGTTCAAAACAGCATCAATACTGTGTCAGAATTCAGGTTATTTTCCAAATTAAATGCATGTATTATGCTTTTTAATTTATTTTTAAATCAATTTCCGGTAAAAATCAATGGATCCTTCTGAATGGTGGATTACTGGTTTTCTTTCAGATTTGTATGTGTGCTCTTTGACAGAAACTGATACTATGTAGTAATATGAAAATGTAAACCTCAGGAAATCTTGCTTTGGGTGAGAAGAACGTTCTATGTGAACTCTTAGGTATAGTAGTATAACAGCTTTAGTAGTGTGGACAGGACCTATGACGATTATGTCACTTGCAGTAGCTGTTTCTGGATACAGGTTATGATATAAGCAAGATGCCCGTGATTTAGGAAGCACATCACACCTAAATTATGTGGCAATCAAAGATGTCCATAGTCTTGCACACTGTAAGAGGTGCATAGGGAGGCAGGGAGAGACCTGCTCTTCTCTCGATCTCCAGATAAATTTTGGCTGTAGGTGTATAAAAGGTTTTCTACATTGACTTCCTAAGACTTTTAGAAGTTGGGCTCTCTTCGATCCATACATCCAGTGATGAGCTGCCAAAATCTTAACAACGGGTTCCCTCCTCACCCTATGAGGGGGTCGTTGCCCACCCCCCGCCACTCCTGCCCCATCCAACCCCCCCCCCGTGTTCCTTGATGCCCCCCCCCGACCCCTGCCCCATCCACCCCCATCCCCTGTCCCTTGACTGCCCCCAGAACCGGGCAAGAGGGTCTTGTGGGTCACCATAGTGAGTGCCTACCCCACCCCTATCAGCCAGAGGCAGCTGCCGGGGGGCGAGGTGGGGCGTCCCGGTGGTGCTTACCTGGAGTAGCTCCCAGGAAGCATCTGGCAGGTCCCTCTGGCTCCTAGGGGCGGGGAGCGTAGCTGGGGGGGGAACGGGAAGCGGCTGATCCCCCCACTGAGAGTGTAGAAAGAAAACTCTTATTGTTTAAATCAATTTAAGTTACACAGAGATGGCTGAGAAACCACATTTTAGTTCTGCAATTTTTTTAAGCTTTCAGAAACATTTTTCATCCAGATTCAGGATGAAAAAACAATAACTCAAAAATTTTCACAGGACTTAAAAACCCACTATTTTTTTTCCTGAAACACTGAAATGTGGTGTTTCCAAAACAAAATATGCTCACCAGAATCCTCAGCTGCCTACCAGCTGGGCTGCAGCTGAGCCAGGAATCCTGGAAGCCCTAGCAGCTGTGGACTGAAATTGACATAATTCCTGTTAGTTTCATGACTGCTCTTCAGTAGTAGGCAGAAGACTGACAAGAATTATGAATTAAGAATCATGTCAATTTCAGTCTGCAGCTCCATGGCAGCTAACCTAGTGGACTATCAGGGAGACTGGAAGCTCTCCGAGTATTGGCTGTCAAGTTCCAAGGTCTCTGGTGTGACCTGGCAGGAAGACAAGCAGGTTTCCAGCAGTAATTTGTCAAAAGTAAACTGATTCTGCAAAAAATTTAGATTTTGACAAAGTGGAAAATTCAGATGAAAAATTGTTTTTTCAAAATTTTTCCGACCAACTCTATCTGTGCAGTTTGTATGTAGATGAGCCCTTTATAATGGAGGCAAGAGCCACATGCATGTAAAAAGTGTGAGGCAGGTGATTAAAAGCACATTCTGAACCTTTTACATTCTTGCAGAGAGACATTTCCTTAATCGAGAGTAACTTTTTTTCTTACTGTGCAGTGTTGTAGAAGAAATTGTGGAATGTTTATCAGATATTGATGTAAACTATTCTGTGGGAACAAAAGCTACTGTGTCTTGTGCAAATGAATGTGTATCCTGCTTCCAGAGCATTTCTTTTTTCTTGATTTATCCAAATACTCCTTACAAGCACTCAGTATCTTCCCATTTCTTGTTGCCTAGGCAATCCTGATGCCTGGGTGCTAGCTGATGATCTGTGAATGAGACTTCCATTGTTCACACTGCAGCACTTACGCTATGTTAATGTGAGATAATGGAAACTCAAAAAGAAAAGGAGTAGTTGTGGCACCTTAGAGACTGACCAATTTATTTGAGCATGAGCTTTCATGAGCTACAGCTCACTTTATCGGATGCATACCGTGGAAACTGACAGTATATATGGAATTTGCTTATGTGTTTTACCCAGCACCTCAGGGTGCTGCCAGAAGAAGTTACATTGCACAGTCAGTTGTGCAGCACTAAAGTTGGATTCAGTTAGTTAGCGTAAGAATTGCCTCTTGCTTTACAGCCATTCTCAATATGCATAAATTATCCACTACCTTGATCTTCCCTTGTATCCTCTTTTTTAGTTAAAAGAAAAGGAGTACTTGTGGCACCTTAGAGACTAACCAATTTATTTGAGCATGAGCTTTCGTGAGCTACAGCTCACTTCATCGGATGCATACTGTGGAAACTGCAGAAGACATTATATACACAGAGACCATGAAACAATACCTCCTCCCACCCCAGTCTCCTGCTGGTAATAGCTTATCTAAAGTGATCGCTCTCCTTACAATGTGTATGATAATCAAGTTGGGCCATTTCCAGCCCAAATCCAGGTTTTCTCACCCTCCGCTCCCCCCCGCCCCCCCCCAAACTCACTCTCCTGCTGGTAATAGCCCATCCAAAGTGATCACTCTCTTTACAATGTGTATGATAATCAAGATGGGCCATTTCCAGCACAAATCCAGGTTTTCTCAAACCCCTCCCCCCCCCAAAACACACACACACACACACACACAAACTCACTCTTCTGCTGGTAATAGTTCATCCAAAGTGACCACTCTCCCTATAATGTGCATGATAATCAAGGTGGGCCATTTCCAGCACAAATCCAGGGTTTAACAAGAACGTCTGGGGGGGGAGGTTGGAAAAAACAAGAGGAAATAGGCTACCTTGCATAATGACTTAGCCACTCCCAGTCTCTATTTAAGCCTAAATTAATAGTATCCAATTTGCAAATGAATTCCAATTCAGCAGTTTCTCGCTGGAGTCTGGATTTGAAGTTTTTTTGTTTTAAGATAGCGACCTTCATGTCTGTAATTGCTTGACCAGAGAGATTGAAGTGTTCTCCAACTGGTTTGTGAATGTTATAATTCTTGACATCTGATTTGTGTCCATTTATTCTTTTACGTAGAGACTGTCCAGTTTGACCAATGTACATGGCAGAGGGGCATTGCTGGCACATTATGGCATATATCACATTGGTGGATGTGCAGGTGAACGAGCCTGTGATAGTGTGGCTGATGTTATTAGGCCCTGTGATGCTGTCCCCTGAATAGATATGTGGACACAGTTGGCAATGGGCTTTGTTGCAAGGATAGGTTCCTGGGTTAGTGGTTCTGTTGTGTGGTATGTGATTGTTGGATTTGTGCTGGAAATGGCCCACCTTGATTATCATACACATTGTAAAGAGAGTGATCACTTTGGATGGGCTATTACCAGCAGGAGAGTGAGTTTGGGGGGGGGGGGGGGGGGAAGAGGGTGAGAAAACCTGGATTTGTGCTGGAAATGGCCAAACTTGATTATCATACACATTGTAAGGAGAGTGATCACTTTAGATAAGCTATTACCAGCAGGAGAGTGGGTTGGGAGGAGGTATTGTTTCATGGTCTCTGTGTATATAATGTCTTCTGCAGTTTCCACGGTATGCATCTGATGAAGTGAGCTGTAGCTCACGAAAGCTTATGCTCAAATAAATTGGTTAGTCTCTAAGGTGCCACAAGTACTCCTTTTCTTTTTGCGAATACAGACTAACACGGCTGTTACTCTGAAACCTGTCTTTTTTAGTTGTTCTTTTGTTCATTTCCCTTGTAAACAACTTGGTTCTTGAGACCAATATCTTCTGATGATCATAGATGAACAGTATTGAAAATCTAGAAAGGATTTGTTCTACAAACCAGTGGAACATATTGCATGACTTAGCAGGAAATCTGTGTTAATTTTCCAGATGTGTAGGGAGAAACAGATTCTTCCCTAAGGACTTTGATTATCAGAGATGCAGTATGTGTTTCTTTTTCTCAACTAGAATCCTGTATGATTTTAATTTAATGATGGGACGTACCATAATGAATGATACGAAGAAGGTGAATTAGGCACTCGTATTTTGAGAAAGGTGAAATAGAAGAACAAGGAAACATCAATGAAAATGAAAAGCAAAATTTTAAAATTGATAACGGGAATTTCATAATTAGCCTGTGGACCTCAGTGCTACAAGAGAGATTTAGTTCACGAGCCAAGTAGGATTGAAAGATTAGGTAATTGTATAGATAATAAGAGCATCCACAGTTATTTTTGGTAGGATAAAAAAGAATAGAGGATATAAACGGTTATGCATGGAGGCAAAAATGTAACCATTGACTGGGATTGGGAAGAAACTTCCCCATTGACCAGGTTATTCCATTACAGAGTTTCTTGCTCCTCCTCTGAAGCATCTGTTACTGTATGCTGTTAGAGATGAGATACTAAATTAGGTGGTCCATTGTTCTCATCCAATATGGTAATTCTTGTGTTCCCATTCAGTCCTCGGGAATTGCTCATACTAGCGGTACTGTAAATGACATTGTGCCTATTACAGGCAGGCTGGTAGCACCACCTTTTGTTACGGGTGCCACCACCTCCCCAGCACTGTGTCTCTCACAGACTGCGACCCTGAGCAGAGTCAGCCAGCATTAGAAGCGGCTCTGTACTGTCCCTTCAGCTTCCCACCTGGGCCCAGTGGAGCTGGAAGTGCCAGGGGTGGGTGATCAAGAGACACAGCAGGAGAAGGACAAATCTTCCCTCCCGCACCAGCAGACGGAGCAGAGCAAGCCCTGCAAGGGCATCTCTGTACTCTCCGAAATTGGGGGGAGGGGGGCAGTTAACTCTGCATGCCCCCTCTTTCCCCCCTCCGGCGTCACCTCCGATTGTTGGTTCCCCTTCTTTCTTTCTTTTTTGCTCAATATTTTTCTTATTG